AAACGGCTCGACAATCATCCATCTCTCATCCTTCGCCGAGAAAATTAATTTTGATCGATGTTGAAATCATTTTCGGCGGAACCGCTCAGCAATGCGCCGCTAAAACACGCTTCCCCTTCAAAGGTCAGTTGTCCAATAGTTCAAAGTCCAGTAGTTTTCAAAGAACAAACCAGAAAAATAACAAACCAGTTCGTCCTGGCGCTGGGATAGGAATGTTGCCACTCATCATCACTTCTTCCATGATTTTACTCTGCTGATTATAGCCAACCGATGACGGATTGTTATTCATTCTGACGTCACTTCATCCCTCAAAATAAGCGCTTCATCTCTCTTGACACATCAAGTATCGCATAAGAATCATGTAGCGCCAGCTCACACGGACAAGACAATCGTAATATGCCGCGCTGATGGGAGTGGCCATGACGTCGCACCGATGGACGAGTTGTCCTGTTTGTTGCTTTGAATTTGGAGGTGAAATGACGGGAAAATTAGACATCGGCCGTCATGGAACCTTCCCTTCCTTTGAACTTATGAGAGATTCGCTGCTCCATTTCAAAAACTGATGCACCTGGGAACTTGTCGCGCATTGCCCTACGATCGCGGGGACGCGGCAATTTCGACTATCTTGCCAGTCTCCAGCGGAACACGCAGGAAACATTTTACTGCGTAACAGACAGCCTAAATTCGGTACTCGAATCCAAAGAAAATAACACGGATTTCATAGTTCATACAATAAAATGCTAAATTCTAATTAAAAAATAGCTAAGGGCGGAGGTGCATGCCGAACAGCGCCGCACAATATGCTACACATGAAATCCCGGATATGGAAAGGGCGTGGCTGCGTTCTTCATTTGAAAACGGCGACAGGATACGTTTTTCGTGAAATATTTCCAACTGAGACAAGTGTCAATCTGTCTTGTACCAAACGAAGGCGTGATTACATTTGCCCGAAAACGCTAAGGCCCACTATAAGGATAGCCGCCACGCAAGTACGCAGCCACGCCCCTCTTTATTTCTAGGAAAATAAATTGTTCTAGGATATGGAATGAAAACCATGTCATGTCTTAATCCTAGCCTCAACGGCGTCTCCGAGCTTTCCTTAAACCGCATTCATATTTTGCTCGAGAGAAGAGGAGAATGGGAGCTTCGGAAGCGATACGACTGTTATCCCTTGCCACCGACCCTCCGGAATCATGCATTTTTCCCTAATGGCAAATTTTCCACGTTATGTCCGCGGGTCGCACGTTTTGAGTGCAGAGCATTTTGACTACCACATATAACATATGAAAAAGTCAAAAAACGAAGTCTTGCAGCAACCACTGCCGTTAAAAATAAATCAATGATTTTCTAGCCCATTAAACGCCATGTGGGATGATAGCGCGTCTTTCTGCCGAAAATATGCTAGTTATGACTCATCGACACCAATTTTCACGTCTCAAAATAGGTCGCGTTGGGGTTCCCGGCATTTTTTTTCTAAATGGATTACTATTCCCACTTCCCTTGATTCCTCAAAGGCTTGGGAACCCAAGGCCGGGAATCCCTTAATCAAAAATACGTTCCAGTGAAATCATTGTTGACACAGAATGCCAGAACAGATGTCTAACAATCCGGTCAACGAAATTGCGCAGCGAATTCGAATAAAAACGCTAATCCCTACCAGATTACAGCGCTGCCCGATCGGCTGACTGACAACACCGTCACTAATCGATTTTCGGTCCAGTTTTCGCTTAGAGTTAGCCTGTTTAGGTGCGTCATCCCACAATAACAACCCACTTACTACTAGGCCATGGGGTACCAGGTGCCTCGGGAAAGCCTACTGTGCAAATTTGTGCCAGCGTTATAGTAGCCGCTCATTTTCTGGGACTAGGAGTTCTGGAAGGAGCACTCGCAACCTTTACCATGTTAAGGATGCTGCTCTAATTTAGAGAGGGAGAAGGGGACATGCGGCGACGCGGCAACCTGACCACGGGCCGAATGCTACACTACCCCTCAAAGGGAGATTTCCCCTTGTAAGTCTCCAATTCCTGCCGTTATCTCTACTGATGCCCTCGTCTCTCTGGCTCTCGCCGCTCTGCATCCATACTCTTCTGGCGCACGCTCTGAGCGAATATAGTACAGCGCAGAGAATAATCGATCTCTTCCCCTCTCCCCCAACACATGCCGTTGGGGGAGATTCCGGGTGACTGGGGGAACAGAGATGCAGAGAGGCTGAAGCAGAGAGACGATGGGCATTGATAGAGATAACGGCAGACAGCAGAGGTTTACTGGGGGATATCTTCCCCTCCAGAGGAAGTATAGCATACGGCCCTAGGGCACGTCCTGCCGTTGTGAAAAAAACCTGCGAAATACGACCCCCGCCACCTTCTGGAATTTCCAGCTCTGGACACACCTCTTCCAATCTTCGTGAATTCGGGCGACTTCGTTCTTGCGAATGCGACCCCCCTCCTCAAATTTCCGTTCTTGGTATAAGCCATCCCTCCCCCGCCAACCGCCGTTCCCATCCAATCAAACATCTCACCAGGAATGCTCTTGACTTCCCACCACTTTGGGGAGGGATGCATAACGCATTTGTGCCAGGAGAATCCGATAAAATTCAACAACCGAGAATATTTCTTTCGGAGCCAAATACTGTTTCTCTCCCACCCTGCGTGACCAGATGCAACTCCCCTCGCTGAGGATCCCCAGCGAAAGTAACCCCTTCTTTACCCGAACTTACCCTCAAAAAAGCTCAGAGCCAGAGTGCGCACGCCCCGTCTTCGGACTTTACTGCGTGCCCCTCAACAAAAGTAACGTCATTATAAGAGCAACATCCATTCCGGAACCCCTCCGTTTTCAGAAATGCAGTCTTTTACAACCCTGATTCAATGTTACAGGGTGATCCCTTCCGAAGCACACTGCACCAACCACGACAGCACTATTTCAGAGATCACAAGTGAAAGGTTGGGGTTCAAAAGTAAGTCTACTGCTCCCTTCCCTTAGTTATACCCCTCCAAACTACACTATCCTACAATAACCTGGTCAGCTTTCCAAGCCCTCCCCCTTCAGCTCTTCTTCCCATCTCTCCCCTATACACCCTCAAGCAACGTCACAAAAATGATTTTGAGAAGTTCAAATACCAGTACGCGTAGCGTTTAAGTTACCACTAGGAAGCCCAGTTTCATAGAGCCAGAACGTCTGTCTCGAAAAAAAAATCACTTTATTCGCAATAGAATAAAACTATGGAACTATAAAATAGCAATGTATAATATGTAAAATATTATATGAGACAGTATCACTATGATGACGTCACTAACACAAATTTCAGATGATGTTTACAAATCTCGGAGACGACGGATGTGATGATATGATGATGATGGAGCGGCTTTGATGATGAAACAGATCGCAATGCGGCTTCGAGGATACAAAAAAAATCAAACAAAAGCGTCGCTTAATGGTAAAACGGGTAATAAAACGACATGGAAAGTGAAAGGAGATTAGCGACACACACAGAAGAGAAAACAACAGCAACATCTATGGATATTCACTTCTGGAACGCACGCACGTATAGAACCACCTAGCGCTTCTTCTTCTCCCACAGTATTCTGTTCATGTTATGATGATTCCGAGGATTAAAGAGCGACCGATGCATCCACCGTACAGACATGTACCTGAACAAAGAGATTGACTTAAGTTCGCAGAATTTTCCACTTTATGAAGCTACGCTGCTTAGTCGATACAGGTCCGCAGTCCAATGCGTCACGTCTTGCGCTGCGTTCATACTTTGCGCGGCAGCGTCCACCAGCGATATACCACCGTTTCGATCGTCCGTCAGCGTCGACTAGGAGAATATAGCTATCGATCTAGCGACAGCAGCGTCTATCAGCGTCCACCAGAAACTAGGAAAGCACAGATATCGATCTAGCGTCTACCAGCGTCCAGGAGTGAAGAGTATGAGGAACTAGTAGGGTAGCAGACTGCTGGTTGACTACGAGGAAGAGGGAGCAGACAACTGCATTAGGCGTCGTGAAATCGCGTCGTATGCAACCGCACTGTACGACTGCTAAAGCAGCGAATTATGCAACTCAAGGCATGTTATTGCGTAGTACCGTGTTGTAGTACGGTGCGGTCACACATGCCACAATTTCACGAGCCTAATTCCAGTGTCATGCTCCGCTCCTAGTTCCCTAACACCTACGAGCAGTCCGCTATCCTTCCACTTCTCCATACTCCGCACTCCTTGACGCTAGCAATTGCTAGATCGATATCTGGGCTTTCCTAGTTTCTGGTGGACGCTGATAGACGCTGCTGTTCGCTAGATCGATAGCTACACTCTCTCTGGTCGAAAACATCTCAAGATGAGATGATCGAACTGGTAATAGCTGGTTGGACGCCTGACCGAAAAGTATGAAACGCAGCTTTAAGACATGTCAGGGAGCAGTCATTATTGGTGGAGCCACACAGCAGTGCGTCTAGGTCCTTTCTCTAGACGAGACTCTGAGCATTGCGCGACGCTCAGGTCGTTCACACCATCACCTCAAGTTAATGAGTCCCCTTAAATGTTATTGCTACCTCGCCGCATGTTACAGGACCTAACGCCGAAACGCAAATCAAAACTCACTTCTGAGAAGATAAGGATGAGAATCATTCCGACGAACAGACGAGGCTGTTGAGCGGTTCCACGAACTCCGGCATCTCCTACGATGCCGATAGCGTAGCCGGCTCCCAGACCGCAAAGACCGCACGTAAGTCCAGCGGCAAGATGTGCAAACCCTTTGTTCAGGTTATAGCCTTCACTCGATGCTTGTACCTTTCCTTTCAACACCATAGCAACGACAAGACCATAAATACCGATGATACCAGCCATAATAACAGGAATCACAGATTTCATTATCAACTCTGGCCGCATCACTCCCATCGAGCAAATGCCAACAGCTGATTTGGCAGTGCCATAAGCAGCACCCAACACCGTGAA